GAACTGGGTGCCAGGACCTGAGACTCCAGTGCCTGCCATTAAGTGAGCGGTCCCTACCTTTCCTAACCCTTCTCCTTATGGCTTCGTTCTCTCTCTTCTTCTTCTTCTTTGACCCAGAGAGAAGCCACAGGTGGGGGAACAGGTGGTTCAAGGTGACGCTGCTAAGGATGAGTTGGCACAGGTGGCTGTGGGTCTTGCCCATGGTCTCTTGGTGAGTTTGTGAGACTTAATCACAGGCTACAGGCTCCCTATCTGTGTCATCACAACTCCTCTGAAATGGTCCTGGGGCTAGATCCAGGGACTGAGTCATGTGTGGCCAATCGGGACATGGAGTCAAGTGTGAAGAACTCAGGCAGGCAGGCCATGCTGGAGGCACGTGTGCAGTGTTACCCTCCAGCCCAGTGCTCCCTGCTGGGCATCAGTGAAGGACACATCAGAGGAGGAAACCTGCCTCCATCAGGCCAGAGCCTCCGACCCACCTCAGAAGCATCCCAGGGCTCCTGGTATTGGAGGATCTTCTTTACGTCCATTACAAGCTGCTCCTGGACAAGGGAGCCTTAGGAAAGAGATTATGACCAACCGCCAGCACAGACATCATCAGAGATGGATGGGCGGTAAGGGATGCTCTTCAGGGGCTCTTAACCCTCCGTTGGGTGCAACTGATCTGACAGATTCATTGCACACAAAGATGCCGCTATGGAATATGTTTTTACTGTACTAAGTCACAAACACGACTGGTGATAGGTTACAGTAGAGGGGGAAGATACGGAAGCAATGAGTCACGATACTTAAGCTAACTATTAGATATTTGGAAATTTTTGTGCAATGAATCTGTGAGATCAGTCGCACCTGATGGAATAGTGCATCCTCAGATGGTCCCACTCTCCAAGCATCTTCCCTGTGCTTGGCCATGCCTCAAACACCCTCGGAGAGACTTAAGAGAGGAAAAGTTATCTGCCAGGGCCCACATAGGGTATGACCTTCCATGTCCAAGTCCCGTTCTCCCTACCACGTGGGAACACTAACGGTCCCGGGCTGACCTATTCCTTGCCCCTGGTATGAGCACCACGGACCATAAATTATACTGGAAACAGTAGTTCTTTTCCCCTGTGATAACTGGTGTCCTGACCTGTTTTCCAGAGAGCTCTCTGGATATTCTACCTTGCCCCACAGATCTCAGAGGCTACCCCTAGAATGCTATGGCTAGGAAAAGTGCTTGCCTGGACATCACTGTATGTTCTGTCTTTACTGGAAGAACTATGTGCCTCCATATTAGGTAGAGTAGAGGAGTGGAGACCCTTGGAAGACCTTGAATCTCACGGAGGCAGAGGAAGAAGCAAATGCCAATTCTGCCATGATCTGGGTCTCCACAGTGTCAAGTCACAGGCTGCAGAGACTCTCAGTCAGGGCTGGTCTGCTTGTGACCAAACAGTCTCATGATTGCCATAGCTTTTGCATTATTTGTTCTCTTCTCATGCTCCAGACCTTCTTCTTCTCTATGTTAATGCAGTTGGGAGTGCTCTGGAAGCATCCTCCCATTTCAAACATCATGATGTTAGGCAACTCCTCCCTTGTTTCCATCTGTTGGGTGCCACTAATGCTCACAGGTGGGTCCATACTGATGCCTTTACCAGCAAAGGGTGTCCCACCTCACATCTGTTAGTTGTCTGTGTTGTAATAAACTCAGAATGCCTAATTAAGGAGCTATGAGACGCTATCTGGAATGCAAGGGTTTGGTGTAGGTACTGTGTGCGATATCACCCACCAAAAAATGCACATTGGCCCAAATAAAATTAGAATGTGCATGATACGCAGGATTCAAGGAAGGTCCTGTCCAGAGGAAGTTGTTCCTAAGTTTAAAATTCTACCATTGAAATTACCTTCTCTAGGAGTATACCCACCAGTTAATGTAGGGTCCATGGTCTTAGCTTGGGAAGAGTTGACTTTCTGAAAATCATTAGTGAGAGTGTGTGAGAAGGCAGAAGTAAGAATCTAAGGTAGAGGGCACCAAACTTCTGACTTCCAAGGCTATGCTGGGTGGTTGTTGCTGGGTATGTGATGGTTCTTTTTTATGTTGATTCAGGTTTTCTTTTATTTATGGAACGTTTTCTTGGATTGTAGTTTTTAACATTAGTTACGTTTGTTTTCTTTTGGAAAAACTCCCATTATATATTTAGATTGCCTTTCTCATCTTGTTTATTAATCATTTTCTCTCTTATTGTTTTTACTTTATTTTTGGTGTCGGCTTCTTTTATTCTTTTCCCCACTACCTCTTGTAGTTAGTTGACTTTATTCTGTCTTGAGCATCTTGTAACAATCTTTAGGTCTAAGATGGATTTTATCCCTTTCTTCAAGTTTTTATATTCTGTCAACCTCTTATTTCATACCTTCCTGCTTTTTTGGTCTACTTATGTGCTAAGTTTTAAAATGTCTGATTCAAGGTATTTTTCATATGTTAAAATGGGTGCTTACAAATAGTTAATTAAAGTTGCAGTGTTGTATTAACCAATTTTTTTGACTCAAGGTTATTCTAGTGGGAGAATATATATATATATATTTAGATTCTTTTATTGGGGGAATTGGGGGAGGAACAGCGTTGGGAAATTGGGGAAGGAGAACAGACAAGTTGCTGTCCTTTTGTTCTTCAGTCTAGTTGTGGAGGATGTCACTTCACTGGCCCATGTTGGAATTGTGATCATTGTGCTCTTCCTGGCTGAGGCAGATCAGTCGTCGGCCATTGGACGGCCACTCATGCTGGCTGCCGACTGCTCACACTGGCTGCCGGCCACTCACAGTAGCTTTATGGCAGCCCACTGCTGCCCCACTGCAGCCTACGCCGTCACCAGCGACTCACTGCAGCCCAGCTCCAGGTCAAGCTGTTGTTCACCATCTTAGCTGTAGAGGGCGCAGTGTCACTGGCCCTCATGTGGGATCTGAGCCAGGACCCTGCTGCTCAGAGCTTGCACACCCAAGCCAACTCTTAACCAACGAGTCACTTGGCCGGCCCAGAGAGAATTTTTTGCAGCAGAAATGTTTCAATTTTCATTTTTTGTTTTTTTTAATAGTAGTTTTATATTGAAGTTGCCTGCTATTTTTCCATTGTCTTTGTAAGATTTTATTATAATAGACCAGCAGTAGCAGTTTTATGCTCAAATTGTTCTCAGCTCTGGCCACTGGGAGCTCTTTCAGGTTGGTTTCTGTTTCACCATTATTTTGACTTTTGAGCATTTTCTTACTTTCTGACCCTAAAAGATGCCCCAGTTTTTCAAGTCCTAGAATCAGCCATTTCTCTAAGGAGCGTTGGCCCAGTCATTGGAAAACGGTATTTAGAAACCAAATCTGAGCTCTTGGTGTGCTTATTGCTACTCTGGCACCACCGCTTCTAGGCCCTTTCAGAAGGCATAGCTAAGAAGTACAGGTATGTGTAACTAATCCGTGCATACATGAGTCTGTGATTACTTCTGCCCGGTCAATCTGTACACAGAGTAAGATAAACTCAAGTTCATAGTGATGTCTCTGACTAATCCATTACCCCAGAGTTCATTCCAGCATGCTCCCTTTGCTTATTTGTAACTTTTTTCCTCTGACATTTAGAAACCTGGCTCCTATCATCTACCAGTTATTTACTATTTGTTCCGTCTTGATATGCGTACAGTAGTTTTAGAATTGTTTACCCATATCCTGTGAGAAACCAATTTACCAGAGACCTGCTCTCTGAAAAATTGAATGAAAGGGCTGCTTTCCAATTACCCACATTAAAATGGCATGCGAGAAATCAATTTCTATGCTGTGAAGCCCATGAAATCAGCCTATCAGTTCTAAGCCTATCAGATGAGGAAGGAAGTGTTGGAAGCTTTGTCTACTCAGTAGGATGGGAATGATATTGGGGGTTATAATAAGGGCAATCAAGGGCCGGCCGAGTGGTGCGATGGTTAAGAACTGGCTTGGGACGCCAGAGGGCCCCGGTTCGGATCCCACATATGAGGGCCAGTGACACTGCCCTCCACAGCTAAGATGCTGAACAACAGCTCAACCTGGAGCTGGGCTGCCGTGAGTTGCTGGCGACGGCATAGGCTGCAGCCCCTGCTGCAGTGGGTTACCATGGGCTACCGTGTGTAGCCAGCAGCCAGCGTGAGCGGCCAGCAGCCGCAGTGAGCGGCCGTCCAGAAGCCGGCGACTGATCTGCCTCGCCAGGGAAGAGCGCAATGATGGTGCCAACTTGGGCCAGTGAAGCAGCGTCCTCCACAACTAGATTGAAGAACAAAACGACAGCAACTTGTCTGTTCCCCTTCCCCCAATTCCCCAGCACTGTTCCCATCCCCCCAATTACCCAATAAAAAAAAATAAATAAGGGCAATCAAGGGTAATGGAAGGGAGTAGAAAAAGCCAGAGGCCATTGTTTGCAAATGAGTTTATTTGTTAAGGATTTGCTCCTTCTCAGCCCTCATTGAGACTAGACTGGGGTCCCAGGTGACAGGTTAGGGTTTTACCTGTTTTCCAATAAATGCTGCAAGAGAGAAGGGTTAGATGTTTAGAGACTAGAGAACTCTGAGAAATGAGCATTCATTCCCAAGCGTAATATTAATATTACCCATCCTGCCAGATCATGGGACAGGAATACTTTATGTAACTATAGGAACTGTCCACTTCTGAGTCGGGGGTGGTAGTATTTGTTGATTGAACAGAGGAAGGTAAAGATTTGGGGTCTGGCTGAACCAAAAGGACTCATGGAAAGGTCTGACCATAGAAGCAATGGTTAGAAATCTGGACAAAAATTAGGAAGAGCGGAGTAATATGAGGACAGCACAGGCATTGATTATCTGATGAAAGAAGCAATGTGCCCCAAGATAATGTCTTGGTTTATTTGCCAGTGAATTGCTTTCCAGGTTTAGGGGACATTGTCTTCTGCTATTTTTGCACCTAAGATTTAGGGTACATCTGTCCTCTGTTTAGGAATAACAGCATTTGAGAAGAGGGCGAGACTCAGGGAAGACACATGATCAAGCACACATCTCCCAACTCACTGGAGTTTTCCAGCAGATGTTTCCACAATAGGTCCAGCAGCACGTTTGTTCTTCGTTTATGCATTTGAAGGTTTTAGAACACTTTTTGGTACAGTCATTGATGGTTGGATATCCCCAGCACTCCACAAGTAATATTTCATCCCCTGAAATTGTGATGAGACTGTAAGATGCTGACAAGCGTGGGAAGAGAAGCCCTTTATAAGCTTAACAGCCCCTCCGAGAATCCAAGCTCCAAGTCTCCACCAAGATATCCATCTGCCTTATGAGCAAGTCCCCTGAGCAAGTTCCTGAGCCTCCTCATTGCATCTTCACCAATCTCTTTGCCTTCTCTGCCCCCACAGGTCCTACCTGTGTTGCAGGTCTCTGGGCCCTCTTTGAGCATCCTCGAGATAGGACTCAGTGTACTTCCTGCCTTCATGTCCCCTCCTGTGAAATCTACATTTCTATAACAGGAGATCTGAGAGCCTGAGCTATCCTCTAGCTGCATTACCACACCTGTTTCATACTGTGGGAAGTTAGACCAGGGGGAAGAAGGAACAGATTCTCTCACCTTTTCTCCCTCTTTGCTGACCTTGCCTTCAATAACTCAGCCTCTCTCCAAATTCTTATCTCTCTCACTCAGTTTTCTCAGCCCCTTCCATTGATTGCTTTTTCTTATCATATGACCCTCCACTTTGCCCCACTAGGGACTCGTCTTATGTCTCTTTTCTATCTTGTCACGTTCTGAAAGATCCTGCTGCTAAAACTAAGGGTGTATATTAAGAAATATCCATTTGGTACTCATCCAAGTACACACTGCGAGGACACAGAGCTCCTGCAAGTATGGGAAGATACGGCAGCTCTGTCTTCGAGCTCCCTACCTTCAAAGATAGCCTGACTTGGGGAAATATTATATCCTTGTAACTTATGGAATATATATAAAAGAGAACATGTGCTCATTGCCACTTTTTTTCAAAATTGGAATAGGAAGCATTGAAGGACCTCAGCTTGATGCATAAAAAGATTGTAATTTTCCAACAGGTGAGCAGGGAAGGTGGGCCCTGCATCAGATGGGCCAGACACAGTCCCCTTCACTTGACCAGGAACAAGCACAACAAGTCCCCACCCTTTGTTCCCAGCCCAGCCTCGTCACCTATGACTGGTTTGTCCTTAAACGCTCCCAGCACAGATAGTAGCGCCATACAGAGGCATGTCATGTGTAGAGGTGTCCAGAGCTTCATGATGCTGACCATATGTGTCTGAATACGTATTGGCAGTTGCTGCTAGAGATGAAGAGACATAAATAGAGTTGTGAAGCAAAAGGAAGTGTTTCTAGAATTTTTTTATACTTTGTCTTTGAATTATTCCTCCTTGCTCACCACCTCAGCTGAACAACAAGCACACACCTCAGTTGAACACTGGCTTTGCCAAAAGGTCTCTCTCCATCCCACACTTCATGCCTTCCTTTTGCAGAAAAATTTAAAAACATTTTTTTAAAAATGTGTTGTCTTCCCTTGATTAAAAGATCATTCAAATTCAGCTTACGGAATTCTCAAAACATAAAAAGGTACAAAGGAGATGATGAAATATTTCTAGTAACCCCACTAGATTGGCACATGGTATTCTTTTATATGTGCATATATGTGAATATGAATTGTTTTAATAAAACTGAAATCATATCAGGCTTGCTGTTATATATCGACTTTTTATTTAAAAATTTGTAACATGATATTAAAATAAAAGTTTTGGCCAAAGACCTTTGGATAGACCCTAAGGTGAGCTTGTAAGACAGATCAACTTGTAGGACTTTAAAAAAGAGAGAATGAGGGCCGGCCGAGTGGCGCGATGGTTAAGAACTGGCTTGGGA